ATAATGTACAGGAGCCTAGCAGAGTCCCATTTGGGTGTCACTCTCTGATTAGCAGGAGCTCCGTCTGCCCACCACTGACTCTTTTCTGGTTATCAGAGCCTGTGGTCTTCGGATGGAACTGCTGGGCTGGGATGTAGTTGTCTTTCATCTGCCTGTGGAACACTCCATTCAATGCACTCTTCCATCTTTGCTCTCAGCTAAGAGGCACAGCCCCTCACCTCATTGCTATACACCCCATCCCCGTCAGCAAGGAAAGGTGGGGAATAAATTGTTTAATGCCTTCCGGTGTGTAGCAAGTCCCTTGTGTGTCTCGAGGGCACATGCTGTGAGTGAGTTTCTGGGCTTGGGCTGCCATGAACAGACACTGTCCACTGGGCGTTAGCATCTGAGCAGGGCTTTTATGCACTGAAAGGGTTGCTTAGTTACTGGTGTTTTAAATAATATCTTAGTTATTAAAGCTTTACCTTAAAAATCTATTTGTCTCGTGTCTTTGAGATCAATTTACAAATCTTGTTATAGCTACAGACTAGTTGATTTTGTCTATAAATATGAACACTTTTGCTTAACCCTTGATTGATATTCAGTTAATTCAAAACTTAATGGGTTAAGCCAAAAACATTGCTTGCTCACTTAACCTAGTTTCCTTAGACATTTCAAACTCAGTCACATATTTAATCTGTTTGATTTGTACAAACACTTTCAATAGCAATTAAGAAAGACCTGAAATCTTGTGAAATCTTCCTAAGTATTCAAATACCAACAAACCTAAGTCTAAATTCTTAAGTTTAATAAATTAAAATTGTTTAAACAGTCATTGTTTATAAGCTTAATCAAATTTTCTTAGACATTTTTCAATTAAAATCATGGATCTAATTTCAAATTCCTTTAAGCATTTCAAATTAAATTCAAAGTATCAGATCATCTAATATATTAGGTCCTCTTAAATATTTCAAATATCTTAATATCACCATAATCTGAAAGTTATTCTTCAGTTTGACAGGGATTACTGAAGTCATGGATTTGGTTTACTTGCCATAATCTCTGTGTTTTGACACTTGCCCCACCAAGGTGACACACTCTGCCTCAACTCAAGACTCAGGTCAGAGATTCTGGGTTAGGCACAGGACTGAGTACTGCTTCTTTGAGGGTTCTACTCAAGCTGCAAGTGAACAAGCTAAGCCCTTTCTTATAGTAATGGCATAATGGCATTCTCAAGACCACCTCTTATCTTGCCCCTCTCACAATACTTTACCTTTTGCACAACTTTCAATTGCCTGATTTGCACCAATTGAACTTCTGCACCCACTGCCCAGATTGCAGTGGCTTTACTGCCTCATTGAACTCTGCTCCCTTTTTTTTTTTTAAGACTGAGTTTCACTTTGTTGCCCAGGCTAGACTGAGTGCCATGGCGTCAACCTAGCTCACAGCAACCTCAAACTCCTGGGCTCAAGTAATCCTGCTGCCTCAGCCTCCTGAGTAGCTGGGACTACAGGCATGCCTGGCTAATTTTTTTCTATATATATATTACTTGACCAATTAATTTCTTTCTATTTATAGTAGAGACAGGGTCTTGCTCTTGCTCAGGCTGGTTTCGAACTCCTGACTTCGAGCAATCTGCCTGCCTCAGCCTCCCAGAGTCCTAGGATTACAGGCATGAGCCACCAAGCCCGGCCTCTGCTCCCTTTTTATATATTACATTTGACCACTCCATTCTAGTTGTGCGAATCAATGACAGCAGTTTATTAGCAAGGTTTTTCTTGGCATGAGGGGACTTGAAAAATTTCCTAGAAATATGGAACTAAATGATACAAAATATAAACTTTATTTCTCAACAGAAGCTCCATCAAGTTCATGACACTTTTGTAAGTGACAATACCAGGCATTTAGTCCATTCCTAAAGAATTGAGAGTCCTGGGAATTTAATCATGTCAATGCAATCTCTTTTATATTAACTGAAGAAAAATGGGTGGCCTTTACAGATGTTTCAAGAAACTTTAAGGAGAAAAAAGTAGTCAGAAGGAGCCAAATCAGGACTGTAAAGTGGAGGCCTAATGATTTCCCATCAAGACTCTTGCAATGTTGCCCGTTTGTTTGTTTTTTTCCATTTTTTTTATTTCAGCATTTTAATTTTTTTTTTTCCAAACAAGTCAGTTGTCTGATTCTTTCTTAATTTTTTTTTTTCCTATTTCAGCATTTTGTGGGGGTACAAATGTTAAGGTTACATATATTGCCCTTGTTTAATGAGAAGAATGAGCAGGAGCATTTCATGGTGGAGGAAGACTGATGAAGCTTTCCCAGCCATTTTTCTGCTAAAGCTATGGCTCACTTCCTAAAAACACTCTTATAATAAGCAGATGTTATTCTTTGGCCTCCAAAAAGTCAACAAGCAAAATGAGCATCTCAAAAAACTCTTGCCATGACCTTTGCTCTTGCTTTGACTAGACCACATCCACCTCTCCGTAGCCATTGCTTTGATTGTGCATTGTCTTCAGAATCGTTCCACTAAAGCCACGTTTCATAACCTGTTGCAATTCTTCAAAGAAATGCTTCAGGATCTGGATCCCACTTGTTTAAAATTTCCATTGAAAGCTCTGCTCTTGAATGCCGTCAATCTGGGTACAACAGTTTTGGCACCCATCGCATGGAAAGTTTGCTCAACTTGAATTTTTCAGCCAGAACTGTGTAAAGTGAAACAGTTGAGATGTCTGTGGTGTTAGCTTTCATTTCTGCTGTTAATCACTGGTCCCCTTCAATTAGGACATGAACAAGATTAATTTTATCCTCACAAATTGATGTGGATGGTCTGCCACCGTGGGCTTCACCTTCAACATCATCTCATCTCTGCTGAAAACGAATTGTCCATTTGTAAACTGCTGATTTCCTTGAGACATTGTTACCACTTTTTGTAAAGCATCAATGTTTTCACCATTCTTCCACCCAAGTGTCACCATAAATTTGATGTTTATTCTTGCTTCGATTTTAGCAGCATTCATGTTGTTCTGGTAGGGCCTCTTTCCAAACTATTAATACTTTCTTCTTCTTACTGCCTCAAACTAGAGCCTGTTCAGACATGTGATAACAAGTTAGTACACATTTATTTTGGCGCCAAAATATTTTTAAATTCATGCATAGTTTTTTATAATACACATTTTCTGTAAACTTTTAGAAGACCTCTTGTATTTTGTTCTTACATACGTCATGTTAAGGGAAAACAAGATGCGAGAACCATAGTGTTTAATGACTATCTTTGTGAGACATCTATGGTTTCAGGTTAGTTTGCTCTATATTACTTTTGAAATGAAGGTAAGTGTTTGAGGTGACCATCTGGCTCTCCACTCATTCATTTGTTCCTTGAGTGCCTACCATAATGTTGGTACTGTGCTAGGTCCTGGGGATATATGCACAGAAGAAGACAGCTTCAACCCGCAAGGAGTATGCCAAAATAAAGTCTACAATAGGAGCAAACCCATTAATCTGTATTCTCCAAACCTTTGACCAAATAATCTTTACTGTAGCCAAGGCCATGATCACAGTAAATCTTAAACCCCAACATAAGGAAGAACCGAACACAGTTCATGCCGACACTCACTGAGAATGAGAAGTTAGGAGAAGCAAACACTTTGATTTCTTCCATCGGAGTGTTTATTGATTGTTCAAGGTGCCTAAGGCCACACACTCTTGTGTCCAAAAATCCTGGCTGGATTATTCGGGGGGTTGATGTGAGGACTGAATGAATTAATACAGGCTAAAGCATTTCATGTAGCACCTGACACATAGTAAATGCTCAGTTTACTGCTGTAATGGATAAAAACAGACGATGATGAATATGTCAGCTGCAAGCTCCTTTCTGTCAGCCATAAAACCCAACATAGGCCTAGGCACACAATACGTAATAGTATTTCCATAGATACCCAGTGATTGATGGATGTCTCCAGCATTTGGGATTTCCACGCTTGAAAATACAGCTTATTTTATTATTTATTTATTTATTTTTGAGACAGAGTCTTGCTTTGTTGCCCAGGCTAGAGTGAGTGCTGTGGCATCAGCCTAGCTCACAGCAACCTCAAACTCCTGGGCTCAAGCAATCCTCCTGCCTCAGCCTCCCATAGCTGGGACTACAGGCATGTGCTACCAGGCCTGGCTAATTTTTTTTTCTATATATACTAGTTGGCTAATTAATTTCTTTCTATTTATAGTAGAGACAGGTCTCACCCTTGCTCAGGCTGGTTTCGAACTCCTGACCTCAAGCAATCTGCCCTCCTCGGCCTCACAGAGTGCTAGGATTACAGGCGTGAGCCACGACGCCCGGCCGAAAATATAGCTTATTTTATATCTGGAATTCCAAAATGTTCTAGGTATTGATTTTTTTAAAATCAGCTGTTGGTTCAACTCTATTTTGTTTAACTTTATTAATTTCTGCTTTTATATTAATGTTCAGGCTTTCTTGTTTTCCAGTCAATGCATTGAAAGTGATACATTTTCCTCATAGTATTGCTTTGACTGCATCCCACAAGTTAAGATACCTAATGTATTCATAGTGACCCTCTGTGAGACAGTGATGTATATAAGGTGCTTAACACAATTAGTGCTCAATACTGGTTAATGTGCTATGATCTTATCCTGTATTTGGCCAACAAGCATTTATTTGGCATTCACAGGATACCAGCGAAAGCACTTCTCCAGTAAAGCCGCTTTGCAGGTCGTTCCCCTTTTCTTTAGCCCTCCTAACTCCTCCTAGCCCTCCAGGGGGCGGGGCCTGGTCTTCATCACCCCTCACCTCACCCCCTCCCCGTTTCCATGACACCACGTAGGCGCTAACAATTTATGTTTAATCCCTCTGTCTCCTTCCGCTATCTAAAAGCAGCCCTGGGACGATAAAAAAAAAAATTAGTTCCTTGGCAACAGAGTTCTTTTCTCGAGGCGGCAGAACTAGAGGCGGGGTTTGAGAGCGGAAAGAACCGGAAGTCCGTGATCCTTGTGGCGGGATTGGGCCCCGCCCTCTCGGGGGGCGGGCTCGTATGGGCGGATGGATTCATTTTAAGCAGCAGGCGGCCCTCCGCCTCCATTTAAGACGGGGAGAGCAGCGCGGGCGGCAGTTGCTGTGGTTTCCGTCCCGAGGTGTCCTTGTTGGTTCTCAACTTGGCGGACGTAGCGTTCTGGCATCCACGTCCCGCCGTGAGGGCTGCAGATCGGGAGGTCAGGACTCAGCTACCCTTCTTCGGGCCAGGGCCGGCCCCCTGCTTTGCCTTCGCCGCTCAGTGCTCGTGTCTACTCAGGGGCCTAGCTCGGCTCCGGGGCGGCTGAGGAGAAGGCCGCTGGCGAGATGTTCAAAAACACTTTCCAGAGCGGCTTCCTCTCCATCCTCTACAGCATCGGCAGCAAACCCCTGCAAATCTGGGACAAAAAGGTCGGGCTGGGGGCGGCGGCGGGGCGGGGAGCGGGGCCGCGCGTCCTCCTGGTCCGGGGGCCGGGGACGGGGGTTAGCTGTGTCGATTCGGGGCCCGGCAGAGGCTGGGAGGCCGCTGCTGTTCCTCGTCCCGAGCGCGGCGGGACTGAGGCGCGGCGCGGGCGGCGTGTAAGCGGGGGGCGGGGGCGGCATCGGGGTGGGCGCGGCCGAGGTGTGGTTAGTACCGGGTCCCTCGCGACAGACTTGGTCCGTCGGTTCCTTTAAGTCACCATTTCCTTATCGTCAGTACGGTGGGGTTGACAGTGCTCGTCTCGTAGCCTGAAACACGTACACTTATGTGAGGGAGCGTCAGAGACGTGCAGATGAAAGGCGCTGCTGTTCACAGATTCCACAGACACTGATGCCCACTTTTGTGCCAGGCACTGTGCAGGGCACTAGACACAGAGCCTTTGTTCAGGCACCCTTATAGCGGCATAGCCAGAAAGGCTCCAGCCACGCCAACGATGTTTGGGTTTCATTCATTTGCTCCTTTCCTCCGACTGATTCCAAAAAAGCCAGAATTGGGTGGCCTTTTCACCTGCGCCGCACCCTCTGTGACTTGGAGTCTGTACTTTGCCCTCAGTGCCTGATTTCTCCATCGGGAAAACTGCAGAACGGTGACAGTCAAAGTCTTGTCTGGCTTAATAATCTCAGAGCCCAGTACAAACTTCATTATCTTTATTCAGACATCCACCAGATGGTACTGAGGCCAGGAGAGGATGACCCTGTCTACTTTTTGGAGATGTTAAGTAACCTCTAGCTGTCTATGCGTTGGTCTGCAGTTTATCACTTGGGTATTTTGTTCCTCATGTAAATTCCCAGGCAGTCAGCAGTACCAGTTTTTGAATGTAAGTTAAGGTAGGCACTCAAATGTGGAAGACAGGTGATCTAGGGAAATGTCCTTAGGTGTGCCCTCTTTAGGGGGGAATGGAGAGAGATGGTTTGCTGAATGGTGTTTTTATAAAGATGCATGTGGAGTAATCGAAGCAGAGTTTATTGGTAATGAAGCCAAGAATTTTAGATTTCATCTCAGAACAGCTCAGTCTTCCCTCATCCACAGATGGGAGCTTTGGGCCACATAGAGGTTGGCAGAGAACTTCTGCCTGTCAACACTAGGAAATTCTACATTCTGAGGGTGTGTTCCACACTTTGAGGGTGGTGTGTTCATAGTGTTGTTTTCATTTGTGTATGTGAAAAATCTGTCCATCTCTTTCAGACGATTCTATCCACAAGCTAGAGCTAATGCCAAGAGTATTAGTTCTAGTGCTCAGTTCTAATACATAGAAAAGCAGTTCCTTACATTTTTTTCTACATTACTGAGGTTTTCAGTTACTTGGTTTTGTTCAGTCAAATAAAGCATTGCAGATTCTGAAATTGCTCCTCTGGGTGTGTATATCTGAGCACTTTGTAAGGATTTTGTCTTCCCAGCTGTGGCTTGACTCAGTTACAGCCTGTCAGAAGACAGGGACAGAGTGGCCTTGTGTGCCAGTGGAACTTGGAAACTGAATTTGTAACAAAAGTATCAATATAAGGCAATTGAAATAGAGACTGCGACTTGACCTAGGAGAAGAGGTTTTCAGAACAAGTCAGAGAAATTAGTAACAGTAAAAGAATTCCAGTGGTAGGGAAGCCTCAGAATTTCCGGTATGAAACTTTTATCAGTTTTCTATTTTAACCCTTGGGCTTGATCCTATGTGGTACGTTTTATTTTTCAAATGCAACTTTTTGGCTAGTCAACATGTTTACAAACAGAATATAAAAGCAAAGTAACCATGGTGCGCTGTGTCCCTTAACAGTGCCACCAGAGGTCGGATGGCACCTAATGACATAAACATGTGTGAAAACATTGTTAAATTGATTGGCAGGGTTACATGGAGTAAATTAAACAAACGTTTTGGCAAAGAAAGCCTGTAGAACACTCATTTCAAGGAAAATTCTCACAATGGTAGAAGTTATTATATGTTTCTAAGTCTTATTTGGACTAGATTGAAAGAGTTTAGGAGTGAGTTTGTTTTCCCCCTGGGGCAAGGGAAGGAGAGGGAGGAAAAGGGAAAGTTTGGGGCTATATCCATAGGTTTTGTTGTGTGTGTACTTTTTCTCAGCTATATTATAAAGTCCTCAGAAAGTTTTAGGAATCCAAGCCAGCTGGGGAAACACTGGGAATTGACAGAGATTTCCAGAGTTTATTGAGCCAACAGCTAAGTGACAGGCATTGTGTAGACTTGGGAAAATAAAGAAGACATTTTCCCTGCTCCCAGTGAATAAAGCAAAGTTATAATGAGGGCAAAGTTTGGGGCAGGGAAGAACTGGCCCTGACCTTTACCAGTAGGTACATAGTCACTGTGGTACCTATTTTTAGTTATTTTGATTTTTCAAAAATTTACTCTTCTTCCTGAGTTTATAGAGAGAGAATTTCTATTTGGTTTCTATGAAGAATCTTGAAAATTAGATTTGACTTCTCTTTAGGCTTTGTCTGTGAGTGTGAGAAGTGAATTTGCAAACTTCATTTTTGTGGGTATGGCTTGCTCACAGTTTGTAACCCCTGCAGTTTATCTCACACTCCTTGAAGTTCATTGCCCCTCTCATCTCATTCTTCAAGTCTCAACTTAAACATTATTTTTCTTGAGAACTTAAGTCTCATGTGTGCTCCTGTGGCTGTCTGTATCACGCTGTATGGCAGTTTTCTATTGTGTATTCCCACTAACTTCGAGTTCTTTTTTTTTTTTTTTTTTTTTTTTTTTTTTTTTTTGTTTTTAGATGCATTCTCGACTGTGGCATAACTTCGAGTTCTTTAAGGGGAAAAATAGTGTCTTACTATTTGAAACCCTAGTGCTAGGGTGTGTGATCAGACACCTTGGATTTGCATCCTGGCTGTGCTTGGTTCTAATTGTGTGACCTTGGGCAAGTACTTAACAACTCAGTTTTCTCATTGATTTCTCATGGTTATAAAGAAATGAAGAGGCCCAGCACGGTGGCTCACACCTGTAATCCTAGCACTCTGGGAGGCCAAGGCGGGAGGATGGCTCAAAGTCAGGAGTTCAAAACCCCCGTCTCTACTAAAAATAAAGAGAAATTAGCCAGACAACTAAAAATATATAGAAAAAATTAGCCAGGTATGGTGCATGCCTGTAGTCCCAGCTGCTTGGGAGGCTGAGGCAGGAGGATTACTTGAGCCCAGGAGTTTGAGGTTACCGTGAGCTAAGCTGACGCCGTGGCACTCTGTCCCAGGTAGGCAACAAAGTGAAACTCTGTCTCAAAAAAAAAAAAAAAAAAAAAAGGAAAAGAAGAAAAGAGAAAAAAGAAAAGGAAAGAAGAAAGAAAAGAAATGAAGGTATATAAAAATGATTAGCAACATGAGGTATGGCATATAGTCATGGGTCATATAATGAAGTTTTGGTCAATGACAGACCACATATGCAACAGCAGTACCATAATATTATAATGGAGCTGAAAAATTCCTGTTGCCTCGTGACATCATAGCCATCTTAACATCATAACGCAATACATTAGTCATGTGTTTGGGAGTAGGTGTAAACAAATCCAGTGCACTGCCAGTCATATAGCACATACATTTATGTACAGTACATAATACTTGATAATGAACAACTATGTTACTGCTTTATGTATTTACTATGCTATACTTTTTATCCTTATTTTTATCATGAGCATCGTACTTATTTTTTAAAAAGTTTATATTAGGTTAAGTATGAAATGTCCAGTTTTCTTAAGTACTAAGTTTGACAGCTGATATCTCTGACATATCACTTTGATACTTCCTGTTTGATTTTTATTGTGAAGATATATCCTCATTCTTTCAAACACACAGTTTGGTTTATGATTATCTTTCTGGATTTTTTATAGCAATTTTTGTGAAACCACAGATAAGTCAAAAATTTGTGTTATTTTCAAATACGAGTTCTTTTGTGGAACCAATGCAGCGCAGACAGCTTGAAATATCAACAAAGTGTCTGGGAAAGATGTAGCTAATGAGCACACAGTACGTTGATGGCTTAAGAAGTTCCATCCTGGTGATTGTAATTTTGAAAATGAGCCATGTGAGCAACCTGAGACCAAGGTGGATAATGATGAGCTGAAAGCTGTAGTGGAAGCGAATCTATCCCAACCTATGTGTGAATTAGTAGAAAGATTTGACATTACTATTTCAACAATATCCGACCATTTGAAACAAATTGGCAAGGTAAAGAAGCGAGATAGATGGGTTCTGCGTGAATTAAACAAGTGTCAGAAGAGAAATCATCTCATAGCTTGCCTTTCTTTGCTGTCACGACATAAAGGCAAACCATTTCTACACTGTGTTGTTACATGTGATGAAAAATGGATTCTTTTTGACAATCGCACAGTTCAGCACAACAGTTAGATAAAGATGAAGTGCTGAAACACAGTCCAAAACCAAATATTCATCAAAAAAAGCTAATGGTGTCTGGTGGTCCAGCACTGATACTGTCCACTACAGATTCCTGAAACCTGGTCAGTCTATTATGGCAGATGTCTACTGCAACCAGTTGGATGAAGTGACAGGATGCTTTCCATTAAGCAGCTGAAATTGGCCAATAGAGATAGGCCAATCCTATTGTAAGAAAGCACTCAACCACATGTCACATGAGCATTGCTGCTTAAACTATAGAGGTCACCAGACCTTGTACCAACTACCATTTCTTCCAGGCTTTGGACCACTTCTTATGAGGAAAAATAATTCACTTCTCAACAAGCTGTGGAAAACACCTTTCTCGATTTCATGGCCACTTGCTCTCCAGGCTTCTTCACTACTGGCTTAAACAAGCTACTGTTAAGATGGCAAAACTATGTCAATAGTTTAAGCACATACTTTGATTAATTGTACTGCTTCCTGAGATATAATGAACTTAAACTTTTGATTTGAAATCAGACATTTCATATTTAATAACCTAATAAAACAGCCTTAGGCAGGTCCTTCAGTATGT